TCACAATTTCAGTCTGTATGGGCGACAGGAGTCAAAAATAGGTCACACGAATCCATAAAACTGGAGATCTGAGAGATAAAAAATGAGTCGAATTCATTTCAGTTAAATCTATTCCTCTACGTGTACAGTATGCCTATTTTCGTCCAAATCGAGGATGGTAGTGCTCATCTTCTTTTGGAATTGGCGTGGAATGACCCTATGTACAAAATCTGTTTACCTCATGCAACAGAGACCACTTATACCAACCGCAAATCTCATTGTTTTTTCTTTGATTCCTCGAGTTCCCTCATTTGTCATTACTAGACTCCAGGACCGCCAGGGGAATCAGCGTGTACTTAGCATCTACATTATGTAGAAAAAAACTTCACGCGTATTTATGCATCATTTTGGTGTTTGCTTTTCCTATAACTTTTCAAATTGAAATAGTATGGCTTTCGACTGGCTACGAACTTTTTAAACATCCCGTACAGTATCCTTTTAGCCAAAAAAACATAATATAGTTGGCTGTCAAGTTTGTTTCGTCGCATTAGGATATAGCAATTGTGACACCTCCTTGCCATGTGGCTGTTAAGAGTTGCATCAAATTCATTGTGTCGGTAATGGTCGCTCGATGCATCTCATGAAATATTAATATTTCGCTGGGAGAAACCCTGACACACGTATCAATTTTAAAGGAATGTTATTTTCATTTTGATGTAGGGATTCCGATTCCCCTCTGTCAGAGCGCGAAGCAGCTGCGGTTACAGAATGGATGAACTCGAAGTACCTATTTCATGCCATGAAGGATAATCCTCATCAGGTTGGACCTATATTTGCTGGTAAGTTCCTCTCAGCTTTTGCTTACAAAACTTGATGCTGATGCAACTGGTCCCTGAGAAATGGCGATCTGGTTTCGCACTTTAAGAAAAACTGGGACTTTCCATTCGATTGAAGCCTGTTACGTTACCGATCAATTATTCATTTTATAAGTCCAGGACCCCGATGCTGAAAAAGCGTAGTTGATTTTGTCATGGAAATGAAAATTTCTTGCATATTACCCTGCATTATCTTGAATCATGTGACATGAGCAAAAGGAAAACATTTTCCGACCCTTGCAAATGAATTAAAGCTGTTTTTCAGTTTTGAGAAGGACGACTTAGATTTAAAGTTACCAGGAAAATTCGAAAATCTAATTCTGATTGTCCAAGACATATTGTCATGCAGGAAAAAGTGCATAAACTTCTGTGCAATTACAGGTTCATGGTACGGAATGCATGTGCATACGAGTTAGTTCTTCATTTGTTATTTTATGCTGTTGATGACTCTCGATCGGAGTAACACCAACATTGTTAAGAAAAATGAAAGAATCCCTACCAATAATGTATAATGTTAAGTCTTTCACAGGCTTCTTTTGTCGATATTTCATTGCATATTCACGGAGTAATTGAATACTTCCCTCGGCAGCGTTGAAAAAAAATTGCAGTCAGACCTGATTACCAGTTTGCCAGATTGATATAAACTAGGATGGCTTATTCATGATCCTTTATTATGCGATTCTATAGGAATCTCAACTGAGAATTCTTCGCGCATTTCCTGTTGGCTATAGCTCAGCAATGAACTGCAACGATCGGTAAAATCATAAGTTTCACATCACTGCGATGCAGATTCTCCAATTGCTTCTCTAGTTGATCGCTGGCTATTTAGCGAATACAGTCATATTTTTGTCATAACAGGGTAAGAATCAAACACCTCTTCATGCGAGACTGGTGTATTGGGAGGTGACATATTGCCAGTAATGCTTAACCATAGTTGATTTTCACCTACGCCGATTCTCCTCAGGTTGTGAATCCCAGTTCATGCTTTGCTTTTAGTTTGCAGATAACACCTTTGTTCTGTGGCAATAAAAGCAAGAGTGGCATTTAAAGCACTTAAGACAACATCGAGCCCTCTGGAAGGTCTGAAGGCCAAAAAGTGATATGGAAAATCCGTTAGTGTGAAGGGTCCTTAATATTTCGAAAATGATTTGATATTTCACAACGAGTTGGATTTAAGATGACGTCAAAGTCACAGCCACCCCACGGCAACAGGCATGAAATGCCCGGCCTCTAGCCCAGGAGAAGAGGGCAGAAAACAATTGAATCTCAGAACCATACTATGGCAAAACAGCCTGCAAAGTTTGAGCAAAGCTTAAGAAAGTTAAAATGAAAAGAGAACGGATAGCGAAGTATCATCCTACAAAATTGTCAGGCAGCCTGCGTCATCAGGGGGTTGAGGCCGCATGTCTGACCAAACAAACCCTACCCAGAAAGTTTCTACTGCTTTCTTCTTTTACTCTGTTTCATTCTCTCTCCCCCTCCCTCTCTCTCTCTCTATATATATACTATATATGCGAGGGTTAGTAAGAAAGTAAGGTTACCCTATTTAATTTCTTCGGAGGACAGGTAATTACACCGAAGACAATATACAGGAGATGTCCCCACATACATTTATTATTTTTCCACGTAGTCACAAGACTTGTTAAGACATTTGTCGTAACGGTCGATCAGCTTATCGAAGCCCTGCCGATAGAAAGACGTATCCTGCTCCTGAAGCCACTTTGTGACTTCCCTTTCACGGCGTCATCCGATGGAAATCGTCGTCCTCGAAGATGCTTCTTCAGCTTCCCAAACAAGTGAAAATCTGACGGTACCAGGTCTGGACTGTATGGCGGGTGGTGAACAGTTTCCCATCGCCAGGGGCTGAGAAAGTCCATCGTGGAGCGAACAGTGTACGGGCGGGCATTATCGTGCAATAGAAGCACTCCTTGTGACAGCAGTCCAGCACGGTTCTGTCGAACCGTACGTTTCAGTCGTGCCAAAGTCAATTGATAATGTTAACCAAGGTTCATGGACATGTTCATGCCTTTATACCTATCATTAAGACCGTAAGGGTGAAGTGTCCGGTGGCTAATGATGGAATTATCCTCGGCAGACAGTCTCTTAGCTTCATCTAGGACTCTCGTAAGGATTTCAATTCGAAAACCATAAAAACTGTTTTTTGAAAATGCCGAATTTCGATATCATGGGTTATGTTCAATTTAATGTACCATCTATGATTATTAATCCTGATGTTCAGTGCCGTACTGGTTTCGTCAACTTAGGCTAGCCCACAGGAATAGCAGTTGATCTTGTACACTAAATGGCTATTCTTGCAGAAAAGTTGGCTTATATTCAGATTCCTTCCTTCGACCATGTAGGGACAGGTACGACAGCATAAATTATTGCATTTGAATGCCAATATTTGAAGCACTACTAAGAGAGGCCAACCAGGCAGAGTACTGTTCAAAACTCGACTGCACCTACAAAAGAAAAAGTAAACTTGAAGGAACACAGAGTCGAAATTACACCGGCAAGACATTGAGAGGAGAGTTAGGAGAACCAAACATGCTGCCTAATCAGCTCAAAAGCCGCCCATCCCTCTCCCCCAGAGACCGTCGTGTTAAAAACCGCACCAAAGTAATTTCTGAAGCCAGACATATACCTTTAGCTGCTGAGTGCAAAGTGAGAACGTTGACCAGGTCAAACAACAGGTGTTTTAATGTTGAGTCCTACGTTTCATAAAATACGACTAATTAAGCGAATACCTGGTAGGACAGTTGCCTACTTCCCACCAAGGCACACAGATAGTAAAAGGAATTAACAATGGTGCCTGTACCAACCAAACTAATCTAGGCGATGGGGAAATAAATCCCACTCCCGAAAAAACCTGACAAAGATTGGCTAAACTATGGGAGTTAGCCTGCAGAAAAGGAGCAAGGCTGAAGAAAGCTGAAAGAAGAAGGACAGTGAAGAAAAGTACCAGAAACTGTCATGTAACCTGCGTCTTCAGGGGGTTGAGGCTGGAATCTTAACAAGACACACTATCCGGACCGTTTCTGCCGTTGCTGTACTTGTCACATTAAGCATCGTCCACATCTGAATGATTTATTAGTCCTAGTTCTGTGCAGCTATCCCAGTAGAAAGCTGTTCACAAGTTTGTAGCACTGTTGCTCACTGCTATCAAAAGTGCCTAGATGCTAACGGTGAACAATTTGAACATCTATGGTAGTGATCATTCAATTCAAACCTTTGCTTCTGCACACACTGAACTTTGTACCTCTGACTTACTTAACATATATTTCATTATTATGAAAGTGTGTATACATTTTTGAGACACTCTGTGCAAATATCAAGGCAAAATGTATGAGGGAAAGAATACCATGTCGAGAATCTCAATATTCATGTTTTCGAATGGATGATTCAGAAAATGCTGAATTTCCGTGTCTTTTCCTCTGTTATGTTTTATATGACATTTATGGTTATTCATTGGGAGATTCAAAAGAGGTACTATTTAGGTCCACGTAGCCCATGCCACAAGTTTCACATACAATCTTATAAACCAGGTTCCTAAACTTCCAATAGGGTAGAGAAGATTGGACTTTAATTGGAAACGTAATTACAGGTTGAGCCACAGATCTTTGTAGCCCAAAAACATAATTGCATTTGTGTGGCTAGCCCTCCTGCAATGGAATTCCAGAACGGTGCCAAGTCCGACATCCTTGTTATCACCTGACAGTAAGAGAATACACCAGAACAAGTGTAAGACAACCACTATTTAGCTGGAGTTGTCTGCATGAAGCACAACAGAACCCAAGATTAGAAAAAGAGAATCAGAACAGCAAAACTTATGAAGCGACAGACGACTTGACCAAAAATTCACTGAAGAACGTATTTGTAGGGTGAACAGATTCCCTTGAAAAACAATCAGAGTCAGCCGAGACACTACGAGCGATGAATCGACCACACAGACATCAAGATAAAATGTATGAGAGAAAGGACAGAAGATGACCATCCATAGCAGACCCCTAGCCGAAGTGGACCGAGGCAACTGAACAGCGAAGAACGCACGAGAAAAATAGGAAGATAGCGAAATTAGCCTGAAGTGCCACCAAGCCGTTCAGGAGTCTCCTCAGGGCACGACCTTGCTATCAGCTTGTGGTGCACCTTGACCATTTTCGATGTGTCCACACTAGGAATGAAAAGATACCAAAGAAAAACAGACAATGCGAATGCGATTGAACACCGATATGGGCCTGCGGGGCATGTTGGTAGCAAACTGATAGCTCCTCACTGCAACTCGACTTAGTGGGATTTGTCAACAAGGGATTAAAGGTTAAAATCAAACAGGGCCTCATGTTAAGAATAAGAGATGATCACAGCAATCTCTCGACAAAAACGGCCTTGTTATTTACATTACTGTTACACTATCATAAGGGGAAGCTTTGTTTACATATAGCTCCTACTATTAGAGATCTGGGGTGGTGAATTTTTTTTTAAGTGGGATATATCCTATACATTAAAAAAGTATGAAGCTGCGTGCGTATGAAGCCTACGATGCTGGGGCCTATGTGTGTATTTCCGCAAGTCCATGTGCGCATGTGCGGCGCCTTCTGCCTGCTTCCGAGTGTTCGTCTACCTCTCGAGCGAACACTTTTTTCCGACCGTTGCGACAGTCGGGTCTATTACCGAGAACGAAACAGAGCGAGGTGAGGGGAGGGAGGAGAGTTCGGATGGCATAAGAGAACTAAAAAACGAAGTGGAGCAGTCGGGAATCGAACATTAGGCTGATTACTGATAAAGGGTGTTACCACCACATCATGGATGCAAAGTCGTTCATTGTATATTTATGTCATCCCTAGCATTACGACAGGAGAGAGAGGCATTCTACGAACGCTCCTGCCCTCTACATGGGGGGGGGTGTTCACACCTCCGATATGAACTTTACCGCAGGAACGTGTTCAATGTCCCCGGCGGGATGAGATCTCCGCAGTAGTATCAAATATGTAAAATTGGCGGGAGGAGCTGGAGAAGCAGAAGGAGCTGCAGGTGCAGTTTAATATTGATTATTTAACTTCAAGTTCATGTGGATTAACATCAGGTCACCATCATTTACTTACAAAAATTGATGATTTAGTGTCAATGAATTATCAAATGCACGAGGATATGCATTATCCATGAACTTTGAAGAATGGATTTTTCGATTTCGAATTCATCAAGTATCAGTGCACAATGATTTGCATCATCCACGTAGCCTCAAGCTACGATTTTTGGATTTGGAATTTCTTGGTATTTGATCCGATGTGTATGCAGGAAGCAATGTATCGATTTGGATATCAAAAGGGTATGCAACATGTTTGGACACTTCATATTTTGATAACACCTTTATTGTGTTGGCCCTTTTTGTCACCTCCACTTTTCACTGTCACAGCCCCAGACGGCCAAGGACGTGTCGGGGAGGGGAAGTAGTGTGTATGTTATGAAGGAAAATATACAAGACCCGGAGTCACGGTCGCCTTTCATGGACGATCACGAACATGTGGAAAAGGGTAGCAGCTAATCAAATAATAAATAATACGCGTTGATGGAAAAGGGAAACTTTATTACAATTCACCCATCAACACTCTCTGCATCAATAGAATCGATATACGACGAACAAGGGAAGGTACTGAGAGAGGATGATGATTGCGATATGAAGGTAAGCAATCCATACGTGGGTTGATCAGAGCGAAAAAATTTCACACGATGTGAAGACATGCAGTCGGAAGAGGAGTAGGGGCCAAGGAAAATTATTCTCGTTTGGCTTCCATCGTTTCTGTAAAGGGGGAAGCCAGGTGGTGAGAATAATGTTCAGGGAAGAACAAATAAAAATAGTTTCAGTTATTTATTATGGATGGAGAGAAGGCGTGTGCGTCCGATTAAAAATACACCAAGGGATAATAATAATAATTATTATTATTATTAACCGCTTAACCCTGGGAATGGCTTGCAGAGTGATTCAGTCTGAGGACCCACTGCTGAAGCTCGTTTTCCATCATGAGCTCATAGGGAACGAAGCTTTCCGAATGAAAGGTCCAGAGAGATCGGTACAATCCTTGTCTCTGTCTCTAGACATCATTAAGACTGGCAGCACCTTTCAGGATCGGTTGATCAAAGAACTGTTGCTGGCCAATGTCAGCACAGCAACAAAAAGGGCCCAGCAAGCCCATCTTTTGCAGGTCCATAAGGAGAAGACAATGCATGGAAGTATCTTCCAAAATGTGAAGGACCTTGGTCTCCTCTCTGCTCTTAGCCATACTTGGATGAAATCTGCCGGCCTTCGATCAGAAACAGAAATATTTATCGCAGCTAGTCAGGACAGTGTAATCCGTACTTTCAAGTACCGAAGAACCATCTTTAGGGAAGACATAGATTCCACCTGTTGGGCATGCGGCAGAGCACCAGAGACTCTTTCCCACCTGTTGTCTAGCTGTAAGCATTTTGCGACAAATCTTTACATCTGTCGGCACAACAACTCTCTGCGCGTGCTTTATTACAATCTGAGGCATGCTTATGGGATCGACAAAGATCCTACGATTCCATGAGTTCCTGCAAAATGGAGTCAGTGGTAGAGCGTCCAAATGTTAAGATCTATTGGAATTATGCTCACTCCACGACCAGACAATTCACTGCTACGAAGCCGGACATCACTCTGATGTGGTTTCCAAGGAGATATTTCTGATCGAATTCTCCAGCCCATCAGAGAGGAATATCTCCCACAAGGAGGAGGAAAAGAGATCGAAATACCCAGATCTATTCTTCGAGCTTCGAGGCGAACATCCCGGCTACCATGTGCACCTTGTCGTCCTGATAGTTGGATGCCTTGGCAGCATGAAGAACATGCTAATTACAGAGCTGGAGAATATACCATTCTGCAAATGTTCCTTAGTTGTAGATGTTGCCAGTCTGTTGTAGGTTACTCTTTGGCCTGCTGCATGCAGAAGGCTGTCCTTTTGGGCTCCGTGCAGCTCCTCCGCATCCAAGAACTGGGTTCCTCAGCTGAGCCTTCAATCGCCACCTAATGGGACGTGGCCTGTTCCATCCTGTGTGCCCGTTACCGTCATATGAAGGGCCACACTAAAGCCACGCGGGGAGGGTGTGGTCAGGATGAGGGGGATAACCGGTTCATTCCACCAATCCACCATGTTTTGAACAATAATAATAATAATTGAATGAGATATGGAATGGTATTACCAATCTATTACTTTAATTCGAAGAGGTCAAAAGCTGCGGTGGCGGTGGTGGTGGTCGTGGCTGTCACACACCACGCGCGGGCTACGATGCAATGCCATTCTGGGTCATAGGCCAGTCCAACAAGGCTGCGCCTTTCCAAGCCATCAGATACTTTATCTACGAGCCTACGGATTCAGGAGGTTAGGGGACTATCATACGAGAAGCGTTTAGAAGTGCTGAGACTGTACTCGCTCGAACGAAGGTTAAGGAGGGGCGATCTCATCCAGGCTTTCAAGATAATTAAAGGAATAGATAATGTCGAGTGTGGTAGGTTTTTCCAGTTTGATGACAGCAAGAGAACGAGAGGTAACCGACTTAAGTTGCGCAAACCGCAGGTGCGGCTCAGGTCGAGACAGGAATTCTTTACTTGCAGAGTGGTGAACGCGTGGAATGCGTTAGATGACGAAGTAGTGGCTGCCCCTTCTGTGACTATCTTTAAGAAGAAACTAGATGCTTTCATGGACAGGCAAAAAGGTGGGGGGCAATGTTGACGTAGGTACTAGACAGTAAGCAACTAGGATAGTAAAAAAAAAAAAAAAAAGCAAAACAAAACAAAAATACAAAAATATATAGCTTTAAGAGGGTTAGGCCTACCCTAAAATTAAGGAACGCTCGACCTCGACACGTGATATCGAAATGGGCGAAATCGCCTCTTGATATCACTAACTCTCCTGACTCCTGAGACTTCATGCCATAGGCTGTGCTATCCACCCCTCAAAGGGCCAGGTCCTTGAGGCTATGCTATTCTAGGCCATAGGCTTGGCCATCCAAGGCTTCTAGCGCCAGGTCCATCGAACTTCATTAGTCTGTGCCATAGGCTTCAAACTTAGCTGTGTTTATCAAAGGGTGCTACAAACTGAATGCGTGTCACGTTTTCAATGATCGACTGCAAGATCTCCATATAAATGCCTTCTTTGCCCAAGGTTTTTTCTTTTCTGTATTTATTTTTTTTCCAGGTAGGTCAGGCATGGCGGTTCGGGACATCACCTCCATGTAATAGTTTTCTGTTTGCGTTTCATGTCATGGCCGATTTATTTGAGTTCTCATGATTGATGAAATCAAAATAATAACGTAAGTTCTTTATTTCATACGTCGCGCAAACGGACCGCTCCTCCCATCAAAATTGTGGCGATTTTTCCGAGGTGAGGTTGAATGTAAAAAAAAATATGTTGAAAGAGGTCCCACAGGACGGCGATGAAGCAGTCGCTACAGATAAATGATTGGTGCTGGCGCGGAAACAACGATTGCCAAGGCAGTTGCGTTGCGAAGTGCCTAAATCGGTGCTTTAGGAGGTGCTAGCCTTAATGGCTAGAATGGCTGATGAACAGTACCCCGTTGCACGTAGGGAGCGTAAGGCTGAACAGCAAGAGGCATCGAAGGCTGAGCTCAGAAATAAGAGAGAGCCGTGCAGCCTGCTGAGCAACTCGATGCAGGGAACGCAGCACTAAGGTGTCGAAAGCCCGGGGGCGGCCGGGAATTACACACGGTCCTCCTGTTTGCCGGTCAGGTGTGCTACCGTTACACCACCGAATTCGGGACATTTTCTCATGTTTCTCCGTGTCATCTCAAATCACTACAGTCGTTTGCGCAGCGAGCACTGTCAGGCTGTATATTTTAACGTTGGGAGGAGGCATTTGTTTCGCAATGGAAAAATGCTCCTGCTGCAACTCACACATTAGCACCAGCGAGCAACACATTCAGAGCCTAAGGGTAATCTGGTGGCGAGGCATTTTCTGGAATTAGTCGCTAGCATTGTGCTGCACATGTACTAAATTCCCTTTGTGCCTTCGATCAAGTTCTTGGAAATGATCTGTACTATTTCAGATTCATTGGTGTCTGTACAATATGCTAACGCTAATAGCACATGAGCTTATCGGTGATGCAAGAGTATTGAATGTGCTAGG